TACAATAAACCCACAAGGGTCGTTTAAGTTTTCTTTGATTTGATTGTCTTCTGCCACTTTTTTTCTGACTTCATCGCCGACATTTTCCAAAAGTTATGAACCCCAAGTCCATTCCACCCCCTTTTTTTTTCTTTCGTGGGATCAAAGTAGCCAATCCCGAGTGGGTAAGATTCGCCTCATATTGCCCTCGGGCGCTGCCAGCGATATAAAGATAAGGTTTATTTTTATTTGGGTTCAAGTAAGTTCGCAAGACTATGAAATGCAAAATAGAAGAAGAAGGATGAGACATCGAAGAACTTGTTATATTATACTTGAAATGTGCAAGCAGACTTCGAAGTTCTTCAGCATAGTCCTTATTGAATTACAATTGATTCACACGAAGAGACTATAATGGGACCATTGTTTATGTTTTCTCTCACACAAGAAAACATTATCGAACTGTTGCGCAATCAATTTGATGAGGAGGGGGCAGGAGTTAATCTCATTTTTTGTTTTACTCAAGGATTTAACTTCATCAATTTCTCTCAATGCGAATCGAGTGAAACAGTCATGCACTTCTGCACTTCTCTCCAACCCCTTGCGGCTTGCTCAGTTTTAATTAAACTACCCTTCCCACCCCATTACCAAATAACTTTTACGGTGTTACGTAAGTCAGGATGGCCGAGCGGTCTAAGGCGCTCCGTTCAGGTCGCAGTCTACAATTGTAGGCGTGGGTTCGAATCCCACTCCTGACATACTTTTAACACTGGTGATCAAAGCGTTCACTTATAGTAAATGAAGTAAAAAGCAAGCAACTAAACAAGCATGCCAGCAAGTATATCAGACTGAAAGGATGAAGTTTAATGGGATCTAATAGCTACTCACTGATTACAGAAAAAGTTTAATTTTTCCCCAACCTCTTTGATAGTTATTTTTTTCATTTTTATCCCCATCCAAATATTTAAAATAATCAACATGCAGCGGTCTATCTGCGATAAAAGATTTTACGTCATCACAGGTTAAAATCCTAACAAAATGTCAATTGAAATCCTATAAGTACTTTTAGACAATTTTCCTTTCTTTCTTTCTCTCTTTCTTTCCTTTTCTTCAGGCTTGTTATTTTGCTATGTTCTCATTTTTTCCAAAAAGTTTTCAGTGAGCCCGGTTAGCTCAGTCGGTAGAGCATCAGACTTTTAATCTGAGGGCCATGGGTTCAAGTCCCATATCGGGCGAACCTTTTTCTTCTTTTTTGTTATCGACCGTTCATTTTACTGGATAAAAAGCCAGACTTATTGCGGAAACTTCCCACTTTAAGGAAAAGTATGAACTGCACAGTGGTGATGCGTTCGCCTCTTTGCTGTGGCGAGGGATATAATTCATTGCTCACGCTAGATGTTGAAATCATCACGAAATCTATTCTAAATGATCAATGAAAACTCCGAAAGAACAATTTTCCGAACTGAAGGTCTAACTTGAGGGTTCTTTTACATAAATATAGACTTGACAGAAAATTTAAACTTGATCACTAAAGCTAAGACATCATTTGGCACATGCAAACACCTCAGTTGTAAGAGGTTAGACCCGCACAATTTACTGGTGCCAGTGGGTCTATTTTCTGGTGCCTTTATACAGTTAGGGCTTTTCCACTAGCTAGGTAGGTACCGTCTATAAGAACGGAACCCCATAGCCACCTGTCACCTGATTCAATTTAAAAGTTTTGGTTAATAGGTTACAATCTTTACAGATCGAGACTTTAAATCTTAACTTGAAATGAGTCAAACTGTTTGATTTTTCTTTAGTTTTCATAGTTCATCTCAATTTTGTACCTTTTAATTATAATGTCCAGTTCTTAGAATTACATGATAGCCGAGTTAAGGTATCATGGATACATGTCTTGCACGGCACATTTGGTAATTGACCGAAAGACACGATTGATAAATATTCATTTCATTCGACGCTAGTCACGGGTGCCTTATCCCACGATGTTTAAATTAAATAGAATCAGATGAGAATTACTGTTTAGTCTCACAGCGATAAATAATGACGTTGTTTAGTCTGCGATGGAAGTTTTGTCTTCTCTGCTGTCTTTTAGCTTTGTCAGCTTACTGCGAAAAGCAACCCAGTAATCGAACATATAACGTGTGTAGTTTTGTACGGGAGGGACAAAGATGCGACTTCAAAAAGTTCGATTCAAGCGGAGACGAACCATGCATCATCGGAAGAAAGGCTGGTTTGACAAGAATAAATGGAGTTAAAGTAAGGCTTGTGGTTATATTAAATCTTCTTCAGTTCATTACTTCAGTTCGTCACAGAGGGCGTCCCAACCTGACTTTAGTTTACTCCCACCGACGCAGCCCCAAACAGTTTCTTTAGAAACTATCAGCCTTATATTCATTTGACTTTAGTTAGAGATATCAAATTTAGGTTGTTCATGCGCCTCAATACAAATTGACAACAGATCGAAATGATGCAGCGTTATTTGTATTATTAGGTCAGCCAAATTAACATGCACAGGTACATAATCCGTCGGGGAATTAAGAGTAAAACTTTAACCAGCGCGAATTAGAACTATATCATTCTGTTTGTGAATGCTTTCGTTCGAGTGTATGTATTAACACACTGGGAAACTATCCCATGCGCCAAGCAATCTGTCGGTAAGGCAAGACCGCCACATATAAAAGGATGGCTGCCGATACTTATGGTCGCCAAAGCAAAATCGATCGAGCAGTGCTTTCACGAATTATTCATATTAACACTAACTTGTCTTGACAAAATTGTCGTACCATCGAAAAGCCTCCATAGAACTGTCCAAACCGGGACTTAAAACGCTTGCTACCATCTTGGAATGGCGCTGTCACTGTGGTACCCTCACTATGTATAACTATGGTAAACAGAATCAAATTTATCGCTACGATAGGCACGAAGTCTATCCTTGGTAAAAATTTCATTATGTTGTTATGTTTTTCGTTTCTTTAAGATCCAACATTGCTTCACAAAGGTAAACCTTTGTAGTTTTCATCGATTTTTGCCATCGCAACTCGAACAAAAAACATGGATACCAGCTTTTATTTAAAACACGCTCGAAGCTCTTATCAGGCTCTATTTGCTACAGTTATTGTGTCCAGTCATATCTATCTAGGTTTTTATCTGAAGCGCCCATATAAATAAAATCATCTTTCAAACGTAAAATTTCGTTATAGGTTGGTCACATTGAAGATGTTGATCTTGGTGATATTGTGAGAAAGCGTAGAACAAGTGCTATGAAGCCTCTTTTGTTTGGTAAGACTACTCGAAAAAAATACATCTTACCGCGTGGCATAAATATACATGCCGACTAGCGGCTGGCGGAAGCAATTATTATCATTATTGTCCATAATAACGATGATGATGATTGTTATGATGATTGTGATGATGATAATGGTATCCTAACAACTTTTACGCTACACGGTTGTTGTCAAAGAACGAACGTTACACTTTATTTACAGTAATTCGTAGAGGACAATGGGACTGTTTGTACGCTTTTGCATAGCTTTAAACTTTGGGTAACCCTGGTAATAATTAGGAAATGCGCTTAGTGACCACATTTACTAACGTTTTCTTCGTCCTTTTTTCGTCTTTTAATTTCCAGAAATTCCGAATTTTCTATCTGATGAAGAGTGTGACCACATGATTGACCTTGCGGAAAGGGAACGCTTTGTTACCAGTACAGCTAAGGGAGGACTGCAGTCCTGGAGTGAATTTGAAATCCCTGACATCAGAAGTAGGTTAAGAGCCAGTGATTCCAAAGGAAACAGAGAAATTGCTTTTGACTGTATTCTTAGCTAAATTCACCGTCCAATTGCAGTTGATAAACATAGTAGATGTCAGCGGGCCCGGTTAGCTCAGTCGGTAGAGCATCAGACTTTTAATCTGAGGGTCATGGGTTCAAGTCCCTTATCGGGCGCACAAGTTTCTCTTTCATTTGGTTTTCCACCCTTCATTTTATTCTTTGATTAAGAGTTGGTCGTAACTTACGGAGACTTCCCGGCCTAACAGTCATCCAGCTTCGTTCAATGTTTTACGGTAAAATACAATGAACTGTTCATGGCGCATGGATCAAAACAAGCTGAGAACATTTAGAGAAAATAAAACGAAAAATAGGTAAAGAAACTGATAGACTTAAAAACCAAGACAACTTAGCGCTTCTTTAGATTTCACATGCTTAATATCTTCGAAGAGACTTAGGCAATGAAATGTAAACAACTTATTAGCGAATAGCTATTCACAGTAAGCGGCTAGTTAGGTAAGTTAGGTTAAAAAGAAAAACAAATGTCTATTTTAAAAGCTACTTTGATTGATATTTTGTTAAGATTTTAATCTATGATGTGAAATATTTTATTGCAGATGGACCGTTGCATGTTGATTATTTTCAATATTTGGATAGGGACAAAAATGGAAAAATAACTATCGAGGAGGTTGGTACAAAATTAGACTTTTTATGTAATCTGATTAGCTTTTAGATCTTTTTATGTAATCTGATTAGCTTTTAGATCTTTTTATGTAATCTGATTAGCTTTTAGATCTTTTTATGTAATCTGATTAGCTTTTAGATCTTGTCTGACTTCATCCTTTCAGTCTGATCTACTTGCTGGTATGTTTGTTTACTTGCTTGCTTGCTTACAGTGAGTGAACGTTTTTATCCAAGGAATTCTTTTTTTGTTGTTGTTGTTGTTCTTTTATAACAACTATTCCGGGAACGCGAAGCCTAATATCTACAGTGTTTTATAACCCACCCATTAATTTTGGCGCGATTTTATTGGTTACTTTACGTCACGTGGTGCAAAATCACAGGACAGTTATCACGCAATAACCCCCTGTCCGCGTCGATATTTGTCCTCCNGACACATTTTGGTCGATACAACTGAGTATGTGTAGGGAAAAAAATCTCAGAAAATCTTGGAAGCTTCTTTAATCTTGGAGAAAAATGAAAGAGAATAAGTATTGAGTCAGAACGAAATGCTCGACAAGTGTTAACTCATTTCTTTCCATATCCTACACAATTACCCGCCTAAAAATGCTGCTAGTTTTCACAATTTACTTTTCGATACGTCAATGTCAGTGAGCCCGGTTAGCTCAGTCGGTAGAGCATCAGACTTTTAATCTGAGGGTCATGGGTTCAAGTCCCATATCGGGCGCACATTTTTAAATTTTCTTTCTATTTTTTGCCTGAGGGATCAGTCGTCTCTTGCAGAGCATGCAGTAAAAGGGATACTTTAGAAACTTTCCTGCCGATGAGGGAGGATCATTATTTCAGAGTCTTAAGGGAGGATCAGGTTAATTTTGCTATTACACAACCAAAATCATCCGACTCCCCTTCCCCCTCCCCCCGGCAGTAAATCCTCCTTCCCCCCGGAAGTAAATCCCCCTCCCCTCGGCGAAATATTATGGTCGGTCCCTAAGATGTGTTTGTTATGTTTACAGGCTCCATAATGTGAATATCACGGAATTAGACGACGGTAAATGACTTTCTTATGACAGGCGCATTGAGGGATTGCCTTTATAACTAAATTGATTCCGGAATCTTTCCATTTAGTGCGTTATGCTTTAGGAAATGAACAAATAAAGATATAATTTAAATAGAAATGAAATATATTTAAGTACGTCGAAGAGTATGAATACAAAGAAGAAATGGATTGGAAACAGTACAGTCATCCAGTGAGCTTGAGACGAACAGCGAGTAGTTCTTAGGCGCAAATGATGTACACAAACCGTTAACGACACATGGTAAACATTTTTCTAATCTTGGTTTTCGTTGCATCTCGACGATTCGCAGAAATACTACTTCGTAAAATTGTAGTCCTTTTCTCTCAGGATTTGCTACAATTGATGAATTCAAAACGATGAATTCCCTTGGGTTAACGGATTTGATGTCAGCAATGTCAATGTCACACCCGCTTCACAGGCCGCGGTACAGTGATCAGACTTGGGTCAACCAGAGAGCTTTGGACGATCCAGTTTTAAACAAAGTGATAGAAAGGTAACGTTTACGCATGAGCATGCCAGATGCCAACCTCGTCCCCAGGGCCTCTCATCTTTCCGCCCCTCTCTCTCCAGGGGGAGGTTGGGTAGATGCCGCTATTAAAAAGCATTTTCCTGGCGTCTTCTCCATTGACCTTTATATGATAGGCCAAATTATACGCGCATTTTGATTGGTTCTTACTTATGATCTATTGGAGAACAGATGTATGGATGACGCCAACAAATAGATTCCATGTTGCCGTGAATCTATACAGTAATAGAGCACAGATGACGTCAACAGGTGGTTAGAACATCAGTGACACACTCGGCAACCCCTCGTGTTCCACGTTCTTGTTTTTACCACGTTGTGACGTCAACCGTGGTCTATTACTTAACAGGCGCACGGCAACATGGAATATATTGGATCATGTCGGGTTATAGAAGCTGTTATAAACTATCAATTTTACATGGAAGAGAGAAGAGACACGAGTAGTCGAGGATCTCCTACTGCTTTCTACAGTCTGATGTACAGCTGCACAAATTAATCTAAAGTTGGTTGTTGTTAAGTATTCGCAGCAAAAAATGTTTATCTTCTGCGTTTCAGAGTTGTAGAACTCACCAGGCTCTCTCGAGAAATCATCTATGGCAGTGAGAGGATTCAGGTAACAAACTGTGAAAATAACCAGTTTAACTCAACTGTATATTATAAGCTTTCTCTAGACACCAGTAAAAGTATACTCTTTACCAATTGGGAAGTCTTCAATCATAAAAAGGATGAAAAAATAAAAAAAGGAAAAACTCGACCACTCAGAATTTTCCTTCCCCAACGTTTTTGACAAGGTGACTAACATCTTTTATTTACATGACAGAGCTCATAATTTACCATGTCCCTACTTTGTATGCTCGCATAACGCTTGGCATAGGCAATTTAGTAGGGTCTAGGAGGCCTGCTACGTATGTAGCTAGTAGTAGCCCGGTTCACCTAAGTGTTGTCTGTACATGTAGTTTAATGACAGCGCATCAGAGCGCGGAATCTAAGGTTTGAGGATCGATTCCTCAAGGTGGATTTGTTTCTCGCTCGTGACGAGAGAAATAACATCTTTTTTCTTTAAAAAAAATCCTTTTTAAACTTATCTTCCAATTAATCTAAACTAGGTTCTTTGTAAAAAGGTGGATAAAAAAGATCATAAAAAAGGCTGCACATTTTCAACAGATCGTCCGTTATGGAAAACATGGTCATTACCATGCACACTTTGATTCTGAGACGGACAAAAGAACAGACAAAAGGTGCTGCCAGCTTCATGAAGATGTGGTGCAAGCCTTTAATAAAGATGAAGGCTGTAGGCTTTGCAGGTGAGCATCTGCAAAAGTTTAGTAAAATAGCGATAACCTTTAATACAGACGTCTTTTACGCGTTTTCCTAGTGTTGTTGTTGTCAAACAACTTTGCTCTCATTATTGAGCATATTTAGAGAACATTGCGCGATAACCTGACAATATTTTGGCAAAAAACTTAAACTTCTCCGAAAAATAAAAATTTACTTCAAGAACTTTGTCAAATGTAGTCAAGAAGACCACGATTCTTTGAATACAAGGATAATGTTATCGACTTCAAGCAACTAAATTTGTCAACGAGTTTCATGGTATCGAAAACAAAATGAATAGTTTCATCAGTTAATCATCCGTTATTTGGTTGTTTTGTTTTGTTTTTATTTGATCAGATACATAACAATTCTCTTCTATCTCAATGACGTCGAGGAAGGAGGAGAAACTGCTTTCCCTATGGCCGACAATGTCACTCTTAGCATGGAGGTAAGATCCCCACAGGGACTTGAGCCTTAACGATCAGATGTGATAAACGTATAAATTCTCCCCATATCCTCACAGTGGTGAGGGACCAGGTACAGAGTATAAAAATCATATGAGCTGAAAGAACGTTAGCTTGATGTAACATTAAATTCTCATGTCTAGCTTCAAATGAATACATAACGCCTAGAGGGGAGAATCATAAATCTTGCCTACGGAGCAAGTTTGAAGGTTAAACAATGGGTCCTGCATGAAGGTCTCGTTGAGATTTTGGAAAATGCTAGAATTAAGTACCCTTAACCTTTTCCCTTCATAAACCTCTCTGCTTAATCAGAGGAAAGAGATCACAAGGGTCTATGATGAGGGTGAATGCAAGATTACGTAGCCACACGGGTGATCTAAGTTATTTTTTTCTTTATAATTCGGCGTTGCTGCAATGAAACATAAAATAATTAACATGTAAAGTTTTTGACAACTAGTTCATATGCTGTACATAAACTTGCAAATGAACATAAACTGCAAATGCTCACGTGAGACATACAGGTGCGCACACAGGTGGCTCAAGCGCACTATGAGTGTCTAACACAGTGCGCTTGGGGCTCCTGTGGTGCACAAGTTTGTTGCAACGTCGATATCTTTTAAGAAAATCAGTCATTAACTTAGAGGGATTAAATAAATTGTTCTATTCAACTCTATTTAGTATCTGACGTTTTCTTCAAACACTATTTAGTATCTGACTTCAAGTCGTGGTGATGTGGACTACTTCAACCTTAGCCATAACTGCCACCAGGGTCTGGCGATCAGTCCACGAAAAGGAACAGCAATAATGTGGTATAATCACTTATTAGACGATGAAAGCGGTTGGATGGGTGCCAGAGACGATTTTAGTTTACACGGTGGTTGTGATATAAAGAAGGGAGAGAAATGGATCGCTAATCTATGGATAACTGCGCCTTACAAAGATGGAGCTCACATTCCTAGTTCCTGGCTTAGAAAGTTTGATGTTATATAGAGCTGATAACATTATCAGAGAGATCGCCCCCTTTTTTTGGAATTAGACAGAAAGTGTCCGAATGCCTTATTTTGTCTTCGTATATTTCTTAGTCTCTGGGATGATATTTTAAACATGGGTCACAGAGCACGTAAAAGGACCGCTCGTAGTCATGAGTATATAGGTCAATTTTTTACCTTCGTATATTCAACAACTGTTCCATGAACGCCGAGTTGGCTATAACCAATCTACGATCCAACAAGTGCGAATGGAATATACACGCGAAATTGGTTTATTAAATGTCATTAAATCCTGAACGTATGGAAATTTGGAGCTTTTTTCAGCTCCGCAACAGTTGGTGCAATGCATTTACAAGGTGACTGGGAGTCAGTAAGCCGATAACCGTAGTTGAGTGAACCAGTCATAACTTTGGAAATGCAATTTTCGGAGGTTAAAATTTAATAAATCTAAGTATACGTCAATTGCAGTGAAGAAGCCTTTGGTTTATATACTTTGATTGGGAAAATGTTTCGCAGTCCCAACTGATTAATTTTCAAATTAAATGTACCTTTGTTCGACAGCCTGGGATGCGATACGACGGATGCCAACGTTAAAATCGAAGTAAACTACACTTTCATTAAAGCTCGGTTTGTGACGATGATACGGTTTATGGTTAATCATGACGGTGTAAGCGATGATACATTTAGGCTAGTGCAGTTTACAATTTACTAAAAGACAAGATTACCCTGACGGATACGCTTTCACAAACTAGTGAAAAGAGATATAAAAAATAAAGGAAAGTACAATGATTAACAAAGAAAAAAAAGCATTAATTTATTACACGTGCACCCTTACCTGATGACATCTGCACGTGAAATTCGTTGGTAGCACTACAGTTTTCGTTAATTGTATGAATAATTTGCAGTTAGAACACTCCACCATTATAGCTAGGTTACAGTCGCATTATATATATAGACAGGGTTAAAGAATAACAAGCTTTATTACACGACTCGGGCGGTCAGAGGGCCAATAACTAAAATCAACCAATCAAAATGCTCTATTGCCGGTCCAATATTCTCTAAGTATTGGACCGGGCACTGTCCCGAATGGTCCCGAATGATACCGCACTTGTGTCCCTTTGAACTTCTGTCGTATAATAAATCTCTTATTAACCAAGCTTGCTCGGGACCGTACAGGAAGAATATCGGCCCTCGATCTTTTTTGTACGGACCTCGCTGCGCTCGGTCCGTACTGTCAAGACCTCGGGCCGATATTCTCCCAGTACGGCCCTCGCGCTTGGTTAATAAGATATATATATATATCATCTCTTTACGCAATTGTCTTTTAAATTTCATTTTATAACTCTATCTGGCCTAACTAAAGAAACATTTCCCTTTCTTCATTTCTATTTGATGGAAGTACTGAGAATCAGGTGCCTATAAAGCCAATTTTTTTTATTGAGTTTTATCATCCTATGAAAACAAAATAAAGATAGTGTTCATTTATGCTACATTACGCACGAAACAAATAAGAGTTAACACTACAACAAAGCATTAAAGTTCAGCATAATGCGTCCATTTTATTGCATCAATATAATAACTCACTTCACTTTTCACGAGAAAATTTGATCATGAAGTAGCGATAATCAGAATATACCACGTGGATTGCGTAGAAGTCCGTACATCTATCTATTTCAATGCAACTCTGGTCGGACGTTCATGCGTGTTGTTTCATCGTCACTATTGCAATGAATACCACCAGATTATTTAGCGGAAACTCATTACGATTTTGAAGTAATTTAGCGTTCTTCCTCCCTGTATGACGGAATAGTTACATGGTGCATGCGCATATTACACTCTGCATTTGCTTTATCAATCAGTAACATTGACAACTGGCGTGTGTCCCTAATTGATCCGAACAACACTAATCGATATCATATTTTTTCAATCTTCGCTGTAGTAAATATCTGGACCCAGTATGTATTGACTTGTGACATGAGCAAGCTTCTTATATGGCGCATTGATCCAGTTGTTTGCTATCCATTTTATTCCCCTTTTGACTGCGCATCCCCCGTGAATTGAATATTCGTCCATTCGCCCCAGCCAGCCACTGTCTGGGTCCATTTCGTGGTTATACCACATGATAGCAGTTCCTTTTTTAGGAGTCACCGCCAGATTTGCCTTGTGGCAAAACTCGCTGAGATTGTAGATATCTTGCTTGGAGCGTATTGATGCAAAATTCTGAAAACAACATCAAATGAACGCGTTGTCAATATCGAACGTAACACCAGATCTTTGGTGTAACATTAATGTTTATCTGTTGGATTATTATTCTAGGGGAGAGAAGGGCGGCAATTTAACAACGCTTGTTCGCATATACCCTGGCCTTAGTTCTAAGACACTTTTCCACTTCTCTTCCCTGTCCTGATAGCGCTCTAATAAGAAATTATACCAAATTTTACAATCATCGAAATTGGAGACCGATTGCCTTGAGTTATGCTAGCCTATTTCTTATTTGTACTGGTCAGCCTGTTAGCGACAAGTTTGCGCAAAGTGTTTCAATTGCTAGTTGAGTTTTAATTGCCGTTGTCGTTTTATCAAGTTAGAATCAGTTAAAAAAAAAAGATTGAACGAACCTCTTTATCAAAAGTTGCGTTGTCTGCCATTGGGAACGCTGTTTCACCTCCTTCGGGAGGTTCATTTAAGAAATAGAGGATCGTAACATATCTTGAAAATGGTCAAAGTATAGTTAGCAAGCAGTTAATCGGATATCGCTCTCCAATTAAAAAGTTGAATACGCGTTCTGGGTGTAGTGAATGCATGTGCTCTAGTTCTTTTATCCACAGAATTCCGTGTCGATAATAAGTTAGTGATCTATATGATGTATGATGTTTCGAGCTCAAGTAACAGAGCCAATTCCTCTTGATTCAAAGGCAGGTATATATACACTAAATCCATAAAAGTCCATTTGTTTATACATTGGTTAGATACCTGCATAATTTGCATCGACTTTCACGATCTATTCCGGCTCCTGGAACCTGATGACAGCAAGGTATCTCTGGATGTTCGTGTGTTTCGCTATCCAAGTGGGCGTGATAATGCCCATCAACCCCATATCGGACAACCTAGCGAGTGTAACAAGTTTTTCAAACCTGTTACGAGAGAAGGCCTAACGGTGTGTCAGCATTCAGCGTTTTCAAAGGGGAAACGCAAGGACTTTAACCCTTTCAATTTCATTTCTTCTAGTTATTCAAAGCTCTGATGATTAGCTGTTCAATCATTTGATTTACCTTCATTGATATTTTTCTTTCGTCTTTTTACCTTCCAGCTCGATAATTAGCTGATATGGTGAGGAGAAATGATTTTATAGTCATTCTGGGAGTAAAAGTATCGAGCAGAAGCGCTTTAATTATAAAAAGTTGTTTTTAGAATTTTGATCTCGCAACCATTTAATTATTCAATTATATGCAATTAGCTTAGATAAACCTAAAGCAACATTTGATATTCTATGGTGCCGTACGCGTGATTCACCAGAAGAACGTCATGTTCAACAGGATTTTAAATTGTCCCATAAGCTTCTTCTCAGTCCTGCCGATTTTCCTCTCACTTTTCCTATCCCTCCATTTACAAATACGTGGTAGTTAGCTACTAAATTTACGTGCTTTCAGTCACCGGTTTAGAGGGAGAAAAAATATGTTGACTTTACCTGTAAGTACTCACTTCCATAGATAATCTCATCGGGCAGCTTTGTAATTGCCTGTACTCTGCAAGGAAAAGTGGCCAGATAAATTCAGAAGATTCTTAGTCAACTACACTACGCTTTTTGCTTTCCACGATTATTTGTTTCAGAAACCTATCACCCGAAGCCTCCCTTTCTCATACGAGGCCTTCGAGTGTTTCTTTTACCATTGAGGAACAGCTTTCGCAGTCTACTTGTCATATCTGCAGCAATAGGCTGTTGTTTGAATCCATTTATAAGTGGGAAGACCGAAATAGAAAGAAAAATGAGAGATATCAACTCGAATTTAAACAAGGCACTTTGACAGCATTACAAATTTAACTCAATCTCTTCCCCAAAAAATGGTTATTGTTGTCTCCACGTCACGTGAGGTGATCCCCGCGACCGCTGCCCAATGCGTTAACCCAGACCCTACCTAACCTGGATGGTAAACTCGTGGGCAGGGATAACGTTAACATATCATGAAAACGAGCACAAGAGCTAATTAAAAGAGTAACAGTTGCCAGTAAACATAAGTTCGGGGCAACTATTATCGATCCGACCTCATGCGAATGTCTTGAAGAATTCCGTCTTCGTGTTCCTGTGTCAGCCATGTTTGTTCACTGAATCTTTCTCGGTGACGCGGATGACTGCGGCCCATTTCGTACAAGTAGCTATCTACAAGGAGCGTGTTCATGTCTTGAAACTCTTCACGAGTAATGACACCTGCATAATCAGAGTCCGTATGAATGTACACACATTACTCACGCTTTATTAAGGGCCCGGCGGTGGTACTCGCATATATGGGCCATATAGGTACGTGCCGCGGAATAGGGTATGGTTTTTGCGGTTCTCGGTAGGTTATCTTTTTTTGCTCTTTTGTTTCTGTGTCCATGGTGTGGTCCTTAGATAGGGCAGCTTAATTATTCTGGAGTGTGAAAACGCCCGCCTAAGCGTACGGTTTTTTTTTAAAACTTGATGTATATGTTTAAGTATTGTAACAAAATGATTTCGCAACAGAGGTTTAATAGCCGTTAAGCGGGTAAATACACGTAACGCCTCTTATAGGGTGTCATTTTTCGGCTTTGTGTCTTAAGAAGGGTATCAGTTTTCGCTTTCTTAGTCCTTAAATAGGCTTAGGGTTCACGAACCTTCGGGGCACACCCCTATCCAAAATTCCCGGGAGTACCCCCCGGATTAAGGGTATTTGCTGAACTAATGCGAGGTCCTTTTAAGCTTACATTCAACGGGATTGATTAATGTTTTGATAGACAACTGACAAATTCATTGGTTGATTTATTACATCCATTTTGAAATCACTGGTGGTCCCTGTAATCTGATTGGCTCTAATTGGTGCGATTTATTGACGAATCGCACCATTTTTTGCTCTAAATCGCATCATTTTACGCTTGACTGAGTTTTTGACACATGACGTCGGTCTTTCTGTTTTGCATACAAAATAAGATGTAAAAGCGTTTCCGGTTCCGCTTTTTATTTAAAAACCGGCTCAGTACTGCATCAATAAAATATTTGAATTGACCAAGTTCTGTATTTGGGCGATTTCAAAATGGATGTAATAAAGTGATAATTGAACCTCGTGTCATGCAATTCTGGTCTGAAATCATACTCGTGATTTAAAATCGAACTCGCGCTGCGCGCTCCGATTTTGAAATGACGCGTATGATTTCAGCCCAAATTGCACTCCACTCAGTTCAATTACCATTATTTATTCAGTAGCCGTTTTCATTCTATATCGACACTAGTTCAGTTTTTCTATATTTAAATTCTGCTCGATCCTCATAGTTCTGTGGTGCGTTGTGACCTCCAAGTGTATATCGCATAAGCTGCAATCACGATGAGACCATTACAGCAGAACCCCATACGTGTTATATTTCTTAGATATCTTTTACATCATGGTCTGTACTTACCATCATCGAACTCACGCAGCTTCAAGTCGTCAAATCTTTGAACAGAAAACTATTTTTTGATAATGCGTTTTTACAAATTCTATCCGTGTTCGTACTAAGCTTTCAATCAAATCTACATGTAAGTGCTTTTTTTAGAGTGTTGTTATTTTGATTGTTTTACGTAGTAACTGAATATTAGCAAGTCAAAAGCGTTCTACGAGTAAAAAGTACTGCAATACTACACTAAGTGGCACAAAATACAGCTAAGTACGAGAGGAAAAGAGTAAGGGGAGATATGGCCCCTTCAATATCATTAACTGGTTTTACTAAAAGCGCTAGGCTTCAATTATTTCCGGGGGGACTCAGATTTATTTCCTTTCCCCATGCATGTAACAAGATGAATAACTGCTTTCTGAGTCTGAATGATTTTTTCCGGCAAATTGAAAAGGTGTTAAGAATTGCAAGGGTTTCAAACAGCGTATTTAATTTATTTTAGGTCCATGCAATAATTTTCATTTAGAAACTTTAATTGGAGGTAAACGGCTTACATTCGTTTCACTTCTTCATTCGTGAGATAAAGGTACCTCTCTATCTTCGCAAATCTCTTTATCTGTTGGCAAAAAAGTCATATTAAACTCATCAACGATTCTGGTCTCACTCATAGTCAGTATACACTCAAATAGCCAGATGAAAAGCTATGACAGATAAAATAGCCGTGGTGTTTGATCTTGCATATGAGAGTGCTGCGCTGTCCTCACCTCATCAATTGTTATTTTTCCATCTTGATCAAAATCCCAATTCTCATACAGTCCTCTCGAGCCCTCCGCTTTTCCAAACACTGCAATTCAATTGGTTTTTTTTTTGAGGGAACTTTGTCAACATTATCATTATCATCATTATCATCATCGTCATCGTCATTGTCGTCGTCATCACCATCGCCACCGTCATCGCCGTCGTCATCATTGTCGCCGTCATCGTCATCATCGCAATGGCTCTTACTGTTAGTATAGTTACGGTTGGTGTTATTGTTATTGGTGTTATTATCGTTAGTAATGGTACTTGAACTTAGCAAAGTGTAATTCAGGGAGAAATCTGACAACTAATTTCCTAGTCGGCCGAACACGACACTGATATTCAACGCCATCTTAGAATTTTCATATCATCTTAAAATTCTCATATCATCTGTTTTGAGCTGGATTTATTGCGTTTGTTTGTTTTGACCAGTTTATCTCACTAACTTTTGTTTTCAAGTTTCTAAAGCTGAAGGTCCGTAATGACCCATGAAAAGTTCTTAATTTTGATTGCTCAGCACCAGGTAGGAGTTGAGCAAACATGCCGTTTGCCATTAACTTCTGATTTTGATGTGTCTAAAAACAATCAGCTTGTGTAGTAATCCTGTTAATTCACTTACGATTTGGGTCATGTTTCCATGTGTCACTCTCTGTTAGTCCTCCTTTGGCGACACTTTTGACCAACTCCTTTTCATCAGCTAGCGATATAATATGGTCGCATTCTTCTTCAGATAAGAAATTCGGGATCTCTGGGAAAGTAAAATAGACATCATGAAAAGGTGCAAAAAGGTTTTCTTTTCCAGAAGAAATTCCATCATAATTGTTTTCCGTATAGGTTTACACTTTGCTTGATACTGAATTTATTTCTTACGATCCGCAGGCGGATGCAGCCAGTGAATATGTAGCCAAGCTGCAACCAAATTGCAGAAGGGTTAATTGTCAGTGAGGCCATAGTTCTGGTTATTTCTTTAAAAAAAAAAACTAAAAAGTATTCAAAGGCAATTTTCTTAGTTTCTCACGGCTGGCTATGCATGCACCACTGGGTGCATTGCTCGTAGTTTGAAAGACAGGTACTGAAAATAGTTTTACAAGAGTCTAAATTCCCTTAAATGTTGAGCTGACACTCACCAAACAAAAGTGGTTTCAAAGCCAGAGTTATTAGTACTTTTTTCCCTTCTTTTCCAAGATCGACCTCCTGCTTGTGCCCAACCTAGAAAAAAATTGATTACTGTTGGCTCACCAAAGTGTACATTCTTCAGATAGAAATCAAATTACCTTTTTTCATGCATAACAACTTCGAGATGATGGCGAAACATGCTCAAAATTTCCGAAGTTGAATCGATCCCCACACCGTAACACCAGTTTGCGAGCTTTCCATAGTGGTCTCTTGGTACTTAAAAGGAAATTTTGCACATTAATCTCGATACTCTTCGCCGTGCGATCATTTCCTTTATTCTTACAATCCTCCATTTCAAACATAGCGCGTCGGAAAAACAAAAGTTAAGGTCTGTAGTATAACTCCACAACCACTCTGTTTATCTTAAACAGTCCATTTCTGTTCAAATAGACGAACAAAATTTTGCGGCATGAAGACCCGTAAACCATTATTCGACTATTGTTAACGTTCTGTAGTTTTCAAAAATTTCTCCGACTGTTCATCATGCTCAATCAGTCACTTTCAGATATTGTTTAATGCTACTCTGGTTTAAGCATTTAATGAATGTAACCGGCATTTACAATTCATCGACCCAACGTTTCGTTACTCCTGTCTAGTGCCTTCATTAGGGGCAATCTAATCGTTGCAACAAGAGGTCCTTTTATATCATATTCTATTATTATACTTTTTGTTGCAACGATTAGATCACCGCAGATGAGGGCCCCAGACAGGAGTGTCGAAACGTTGGGTCGGTGAAGTATAATTTCCCGGTTACATTCACTAAATCCTTAGACCAGAGTAGCATTAAACCATTTCTAATTGTCCACCTGTTTGCTTTGTGAACTTTAACATATCTCAGTCACTTTCATTTGGCAATATTTTTTCCACGGTTGAGACTTGGTGTAAATTTGCTCTCAGTTGCAACACGTGCATGACAGCATCCGAGAATTGTACCGGTATACCATCCGGTATATTTATTATTTTCTTTGTGTGAATAGACTGGGTACCAGAATTTCACATTCAAGCTACAAAGCTGACGTTTAAGTGCCACAGAGAGTGTAACTCTAAGTTGGAAAGAATTTATTTTAACGATGAAATGAAAGCGTAGAAGTTTTTGTTAAATATTAGATTAGAAATTGCGACGATTTCAAAAATTTGTGCGGAACGAAGCTTAAGCCGTATTGTTATTATATTTTATGATAAAATTAGTGAATTGATGGTATCAGTTGAATAGCAAACTAAAAGCTAAAGCTGGCCTTTTGAATGAATTAACTAATCACGGGCATTCTTGAAGAAACTGTGCCTTAAACCGTTCTCGCTGAGGCCAAATGGTTAATCCAAACCTTAATCTTTTATAAACAGTGTCAAGAAGAAACTCAGCTAACAAGGGAAAGCGTTAATTTACTTCAAACAACCCTATTATAAACAAAATCTGTTGGTCTGCAACAATAGCATGAGTCAGAATTCGTTCAATTAACCCGCTCTCATTGTTTAGCTCAGTCAAAAAATTTTGGTCATCAGAAAATCGAAAGACTTAACAATATGGATCATTTCACGTCTTTTCCAGTGAAAGATGGGCCATTCATTAGGACTCTCATGTTAATTACATAATTTTTTCTCGAGTCATTGATTTCAAAAGAATAATAAAAATTACCCAGCCGAAATCGCAATGTTTAATGGAGGAATAAATATAACATATAAACCGGCATAACAGAAACGTTTTTTGATCGCCTTCGTGATTACTTACTCTTACTCCGTCTAGGCGTGTTAAGATGCCGTTTTCCCGAGGAATAAAACACGGTCTTTCATCTGTTACGCACGTGTCATCCTTGCAGTGTTGGGCTGAGCCTGCATCACCAATTGTATCGGTGTACAAATGACAATGGACCCAAGCGAGAGAAGATACGACTATAAGAATGACTTCCTCTCTCATGTTTTCACTGATTTTCCAAATAATTTATACGAAAGAGTCACATTGTCGATCGACTTGAAATCCTCTTTGAATTATGAATTATTCATTCAACATGGCTAAGAGTTCACCTGCTGTTAGCTATTGGACCTTTCTTACGAGGCTTTCGTAACCTTAGCTCGTACATGAGCAACTCGAAAGTTTTATTCCAATTTTTAATTTAACGCTCATCAGTAGATCTAACCCCAGCACTTATGTCTTATCAAATAATTATGAAGGAGAAACTACTCTAAAAATCTTATTAAAACTATTTTGATAACACCATAGGAGTTACAGAGCAGTGTAGGTGTCAAAGTTTTCAAAATAATTTTCCAGTCGAGGCCTTTCCCTTTCGCTTGAAACCGTTTAAGAATGCTCACTGCCAATCCTAAAGCTTCGCGGCCGAATGTCAAGTGCAAGCCGATGAGACATGCCAGCGGTCTTAAATAGCTCCTTGCGAATGTCTTTTTTATGTAGTGCGTAGACGATAGGATCTATCATGGAGTGCCCCTTTAACAGAAGTCGCGAAATGTGAACGGCGGTCGGAGGTATTGAGCAGCGGTTGAACGCCGAACAAATCTCTCTCCATGATGCCATGGTCCAACAAATAACAAAAAGAGGAACGACTACACAGAACACTTTTATGGTCGCTTTTGCACGCCATTTTGTTTCTCTGCCAATGCTATCACTCCTTGTCCTTAAGCTTCTATGAAGGGAGTTTATGAGTCTGGCGTGTCTTCGCCTTATTTGAAAGATGTGTATGTAGGCAAGTAGCATTAAAGCACAGGGCAGCAATTCAAATGTGGCAACTTTTATGACCACAAATACATGTTCTACGAGTTGCTTTGATGACTCGGCTATGGAGAGCATATTTATGACAAAAGAAACACCGCAAACAACCAGAGGAAACAGCCAAGCTGTTACTATTAATTTGATGATAGACTTTCGAGGAATAAGTAGGGTGTATTTCAGAGGAAACACTACTGCAATATATCTATCCATGGTGAGAAAACAAAGATTTGTGACGGAAATGTAAAGGAAAAGGTCGTACACAATTTTGTTCACTTTCCAGTCGCACGGTACGGTCGAAAAGTAACAAAGAAACAGGGAAGGAATCATAATTATTCCCACCGCAAGGTCTGAAAAAGCCAACGATAGAAGTAACCAGTTGCAAGGATTTCGGTTGAGCCTTCCTCGTTTTAGTATGATAAAGATGACTACTCCATTACATATTAAGGTGATCAGTCCATTAATTGCACTAAGCACCCAGAAGTATTCGGGAACTGGGCCCCAGAAAAATTCTAACTTCTTGGCGTCTATGTCGCTGTCGGCGTCCTCAGACATCACGATGAAAAAGCTCCGATGTAATTATGGGATGCGCCTCCTGCATTGAGTAAAAAAAATTCAAAAAAAAATTTAAGGAAACAGTTATAGCAAAGTAACAACAACAAAACAAACGGGCTAAAATGTAAAGGGAAGAGATCGTCGTCTTGAGTTCGTGCAATGGAAATCAAAAGAAATACTTGAGGTTGAACGTTTTCTATGTGTCAAATTATTAGCGTTTAATTAACTGGATTTCGTTTTAGAACTTGAAGGAGTTGAAGTGGTATAAACAGGAAATTGTTATGATATTACGCTTCAGGTTGTTTGAAAATCGATTTTTGAAGGCACTTACGAGCTTTTGGTAATTTTTCCTCGATTAGAAGTTGAACAAGCAACAGCTATTGTTTCGTTCGGTTAGCTCTCTTCCTTGCGTTTGGTTCTATACATATTTAAAAAGGTTTGTTTTAAATAAATATAAAACAAAAAAAGCTACAAACTTGAAAAATCTACACAAATATACTACATATCGCCCATCATTTGCAAATTAAATAAGCTGTTAACGATAAAAAATACAAAATCTTGAAAATATAAGTATATGCCCTATCGAACCAAGGTCGCCAGTATTAAGCGACTCTACCAAGTCGTCATCCCAGGTGTGTTCTGAAAAGCGTTTCCGTCAAAACAAATTCAATGGTATTCTACTAAAACGTTTTTTATTTCCCCTGCAAACTAAAGCAAGCTTGGTAACAGTAAAAATAGCCAAATCATTGGTAACAGAGTCGACTGTTTCGAATTCGAAAGTAAACGTAAGGCATACTCAAGAAAGACCAACTTACCTTAATCAACGGAGATGTTTATTCCTTCAACGAGAAATTACCCTCGCTCTGTTAGTCACTTAAGTGAGGTGTTGACACCTTTCTGGGTATAAAAATAAGAATGTTTTTTTTTAATAAGCTATCCAATATCATGAAAAGCTCAGGTTTTTGCATTTTGTCTATAGATGGTAAACGAAAAGCTGGAATTTTACGAAAATGTCACTTCTACGCACTCAAAGTGTCAGCAGAAGTGACAGAAAATTTTAATAGCATGCAAAAGAGGTTCAATGTAGTCAGCTTTCAATTCGACGATTACGTGTTAAAACCTTTTTAAGAGGTGCAAGTGTAAAACTGAAAGGGGGAAAAAAACAAATGCTAATATATGGGTAAGATAAAATTTCAAGTCCTTTTAAAAATACCCTCAATTAAGATAACCATTATTTTGATTATGAGACAGATTTTTTTTTTGGTACTTGTTTTCAAGAGCTATCGTATAGAGTACGATAGCTTTGATCGGGCTGTACCTGCCCATTGTAGCTAAGAATAGCGAATCAGGTTTGAGGTACGCAGATACTTCAAGATTTATCTCACATATTTTCCATCAGAATTAATTAAAAATTTAATATCTTCTCGCAATATTTGTCAACGGTAAGTGATCGGGGTTGACAAAAATGAAAAATATCAAATTAAACCACCATTGTATCCATACACAAATTTATGAATGACAGAAAATGATGCATCGCTTTAAAAACGTAGAAGCGTCCTTTTTCGATATAATCAGAATATTTTTTTCCTTAAAAAAATATTGCCAAATAAAATTATGTGCAATTTGAACAAAAGGAAAAAGTGTCATCAGTGTCTGTAGATAACTGCACGGAGTGACCAAAAATAATAATAAAGATTATATATATTTATACTGAGCTGAAGTTGGACAGGAGACATGTAGTTCTGAAATACATCAATATGTCCCACCAGTGTTGATTTAATCAGTGCAGACTGTAGCGTACCGGTTCACAGGATTTTTTTTCTTTTCATAGAGTACCTCTCCCTCAAAAAAGTAGGGTCCGACTGCTGATTTACAGGTCGTTTTTTATTCCGAATAATTAAAGATTCGTATTTATAAAAAATTCTTCCTGAGGTTCATGTGCGTAGAAAGGAAACTCTAGTGTTATGAACTTGTATAGCATACTTTCTCGTAGGAGTAGGGACATATGATATTTTGTTTAACATATTCTCTTTGCCTTACCTTTGGGCCATTGTTGTAAGGTGAAATCAAGTTGTGCAATGCCTACTTTACAATGAACGATAAACTACATGTGCTTAGTGTACACGTGTTTTCATATCATAAAGCGTCCGACAATTTCTCTCCATTATAATGAACCCAGCTAGACAGTTTCGGAAATAAACTGGTCGCACTCTTTGTCATTTACAATAAAAAGAAGACGAGCTTTGTTTGTGACAGACTCCTCCTTAAAATCCCTTAATCATGTAAATTTTACCATTGTACTTTAGGTCATTTTTCCAACCTTCAAATTACTAATTGCTGTGCAGTTGTATTCCTTATCCTACGGTCGATGTACCTTCAATCCCTCTACTGATGCTTGAAGGAAATTAGAGCCGTTTTCAGTGCTCAGTATCCGATGAGCCAACCGTCATGCTATAAACACTAATTTCCCACGACTGACAGAAACTGATGCAGCTGCTTTAAATTGAAAGGAAATTCAAATTTTTTTAGATTGCTCTAACCCGTTATCACTTCGTAATCATTGTTTTTGTAAATAGATTTGCTAATTTCCACCGCATTTAAATTGCAAAGAGAAGAACTGAAAGAGGTTTATGAACGTTTGGCATACACAATCATTGACAGGTATCCTAAATAGCCCATTTCCGAATTACCCTTGGCCTCTTTTTTAAAACGAGGCCTGGTGCTCAACCATTCTTGTGAAAATGAGTTTAATTTGCATGTGAATGAAAACTTATAATCATATGAAAGGATGAGCACCAGGACTCTTTTTGAAAATGAGGCCAAGGGTAATTCGGAAATGGGCTATTTATATCCTGAGTGTGAATTATTTATAAACTGTTTATGATTCCTTGGCTCGTCAACATCCATTTATCTTGAGTCACAAACCCTTTCGTTTTTGTAGCAAGCAAATGTTATTAATAACTAGATATACTCGGACAAGTTGATTTTAGTAAAGCATATGGCTTGAGTGAATCATGTTTCGCTGAGAAGCGGGTTTTGCTTACCTAGGCATACAAGTTAAGTTGGCCAAATAAGCCCAAATATTATTCAGGCTCTCCGAGTAACACTTAAAGATTTTCGTGTTCAATCACAAATCATCAACGAGGCTCGAAAGCGCGCTCGTCAGTGCGAGCTTTTCACACCCGGGACTTAATCGCTCAAACGGTGAATAACAATAATAATAATAATAATAATAATAATTTTATTTATATAGCGCTAAAATCCAATAATTGTCCAAAGCGCTACCTAATTACAATATAAAATATAAAAATATATAATATAAAATATCTACAATATACAATATAATTCAAATATAGCCTAAGTTATCTACTATATAAATCAAAAACATCTCAAAACAAAACGAATCTCATAACCTATATGCTAACTTAAATAAAAAAGTTTTAAGGGATTGCTTAAAAGTTGCCACTGAAGCACATTTCCTAATCTCTAGAGGTAAATCGTTCCACAATTTAGGTCCTGCAATAGAGAAAGCTCTGTCTCCATATGTTTTCAATCTGCTTCTTGGAACCACTAAATATTCTTTACATGAAGAACGCAATGACCTAGAGTATGTTTTAAAATTCAAAAGGTCAGAAATATAGGAAGGTGCAAGGCCATGAAGGGCCTTGTATACCAATAAAAGGACTTTAAAAGTTATTCTAAACTCAACTGGTAACCAATGAAGATTAATTAAAATAGGAGATATATGAACATGCCTCGGTGTCAATGTGACAACACGAGCTGCAGCATTCTGAACTGCCTGTAGTCTAGCTAACAGATACTTAGGAAGGCCATGTAATAAGGAATTACAGTGATCAATTTTCGAACTAATAAATGCATGGACTAAGATTTTACATGTATCTTGGCTTAAGTACTTGCGGATTTTAGCAATATTTCTCAAATGATAGAATGATGATTTACAAATGTTCTTAATGTGCTCCTCAAAACTAAATATGCTATCAAACTGAACCCCTAAATTACGAACAGAGTCACGAGGTGCAATGCACTCAGAACCAACAGTAATGTGACCGATGTCAGGCATGGGATGGTATCTGGAACTGATGACTACAAGGTCCGTTTTGTCCTGGTTTAGTTTAAGATAGTTTCTTATCATCCATTCATCAATGTCCCTCACACAGCATTCCACTCTCAACTTCACTTGTTGGATGTCATTCAAGCTGGTAGATTTAAAGGTAATATATAATTGGGTGTCGTCAGCATATAGATGGTATGATAGTCCATGATCATTTATTATGTCCGCAATAGGTGATGTGTATAACAAATACAACAAAGGGCCCAGAACTGATCCCTGAGGGACACCACACTTCAATGCACGTTGTGAAGAATGACTATTCCCAACTTTAACAAACAGCTTACGTGAAGACAGGTATGATTTCAGCCACTTAAGCACAGTTCCTTGAAAACCAAAACAAGTAGACAGCCTTGTCACTAGAAGAGTATGGTCCACCGAATCAAACGCCGCCGACAGATCCAAAAGTACCAGTATGACCGACTCATTACGATCTAAAGCACAAAGAATGTCATTTTGAACCCTCAGTAGAGCCGTTTCAGTGGAGTGAAATGACTTGTATGCGGATTGAAACGTTTCCGAAAGACCATTAGATNTTTATTCTATGGTACACCGCCTCCTCTTCCTTGTTTCCTGGGAACATGTAGGAATCTATAACCTGTTGGACACAGTGTTCCAATCTCAACATCATCCATATTGTGTGGTCTCAGCCAGGTCTCAGTAAAAGCTAGTATATCTACATCAAAATCCACCACAAAATCTTTAACCTCCATTGTCTTATTACGCACGGAGCGTGTGTTCAGTAGAGAAAAATTTAAGCAATGCGATAAACCATTTTCACTGTATGGAATTTGCGCAGAATTTTGTGAAGAGACTTCAGGCCCAGGATGCGGATGTACGTCACCACTAACCAATAGAGATATTACCACGGAGTTAAAAGAGGCCGTAGTATTACTGCAATAAGATATTCTGCTTTTAAACCATTTTCTCTTCCGAGTCCTTAATAACAAACCTTTGTTCGGACTCATAAAGAAAAACATCCCATGGGAGGAGAATGCAAATAAGCTTCTCTGCCAGCGAGTAATCCGAGCATGACTCATAAAGAAAACCATCCCATGGGAGGAAAATGCAAATGAGCTTCTCTGCCAACGAGTAATCCAAGCGTAACATATTCCCGGTGAAGTTGGTTCAACAACTCTTTGGAACTGGTTTTCGAAGCTGTCAAACTCAGAGGTGACTTGAAAATCCCCGCCAACACATCTCAGTAGGATTATCAACCACAAGGACCAATTTAGAAAACGAATGGCCATCTTTAAGCGCATAAAAAAGTAGATAACACCAGAGCTTGTGAGGACACGTCCGCACCCCACCGCACCTAAAGCAACCGATAAATCGCTACCCAGCGGATAAGTGTTTCGAAATTATACTGCTGGATAGAGCTTTATGCAGCGGATAGCGTAATACACCCTTCAAGCAACCGGGGCCTTGGTTTTAAGCGCTACAAAGCATGTGAAGACACTTTTTGGAAGTAAACAGATTTTTAAAGTCATTTGGTGACGCTGAAAACGCAACAAAGATCGCTGGATATTCAAATAAAATCGTCAGCATCACAAATGAATGAAAGATGACTTTGTGTATGCACATTTACGAACAGCCGCACATCAACTGATTCATGATGGTCTTTGACTAGTCAAATAACTACTAGGTGTTGTTCCAGAGATCGCTACGACTTAGGAAAATAAAGTAAAACGGAAGTTCATGGCTCATTGCTGAATGAAATAACAAAATGATTCTAGAGATAAACAAAAACAAAATTAGAAAGAAAATTGGAAACATATTCAAAGCCACGGCAGCCAAAACTTACACAGTTGAGATTATTTTGATAAGCCCTTAATCGAGTTGTTTATTTTCAGATACTAAGTCGACTTTTTTTTACCGCATCTTTGTCAGCAAATAGAATGGATAATAAAAAAAAGTAAAAAATCATATGACACTCTTCGTGAAACAATCTCACCTTGGTTGAAGTTATCTATTTTTCTATTTTTGTTTTTTAGTTAAAAACGTTTTACACAGCCTGTTTCTTTCGAAAAACATCTGCTTTGTACTTTTTTAAAAATACAACCCTGACATTTGAATGCAATGTGACAAGTCTCTTTGTGTTTTCAAAACCACATAGTCAACAAAATACACCCAGAAATTAAAGGTAGTTTCTTTGAATTCATTTTTTGCAATGTATGAAATTAATTAAAAATGCATGAATACGCATAATTACTGATGGGCCATTAGCGAATTCGGCTTCGTATTTCTTTTAAACTGGAATAATTACGTTTATAATGATATGATTACCTTTCCTACGAATCTTAGTATGTTATCAGAAATGTTTCGTCCAATGTTATGCAGTGACGTGTGCAATTTACAAACAGTTCTATAAACAGCTTGAATCGGTGACGAAATTAAAAAAATACAATAAAACTAATGTTTATGAAAGACAACATTCGATTGCTCTTTGGTCTTGTAGGTTTTTTGGTACAAAATTTTGCTTAGCAGATAAACTGATAAGGGGTAGAAGAAAACTGAGCTTGGTTCACCTGCATTAAGCTCCTAAAGCTGAGCTGGCTCATGTCCTTGTTGGATTAAGCTAATAAGAAAGGAAACGTTTCGCCTTTAAAAAACAAGCAGAGAAGCAGAAGGAAAAACAAAAAACAACAGCCTACAGGCTTCAACGTCGGAGTAATATGTTACCTCCTTATTAAAGATTGTAACTTTGCAAGTCAGTTCGTTAAAGGTTATCTCACTTATTGTTAATCACGGTGCTTATTTCACCTCTGAGTGATAAATCGTTGGCTATCCACGAGAAAAACAAAATAAAATAAAATAAAATAAGGGACCACAGCTTTTTTTTTTTTTTTTTTAAAGATAAAAGTAGAAGCATGTTTGAGTAATTTTTCACAAACTCGGATAAAAGCAAAAAATATGACATAACCTTGACCCATATGGTGCACCAATGAGTTTCAGAGAACACCTTCGCTTGCGAGGGCCACAAACAAGATTTACGTTTGTAAAACAGAGAGAATATTGGGAATTGGCTTACCTTCTGTGGTGTTCATGCATGTTTTGCACGTTTCGGTTAGGACGTTCTTGGTGTTACACAACTGAAATATCCTCTCAGTAATGAAGATGATTGTGATTTGTTTTTCGATTTTACATGTCCGTCTGCAGCTGACGAAGTTAATCAGAGCATTATTTGATCACCACATTTTGTTTACTTACAGTGGGTGATAGACTTGTTTATCACAATTATATACCGCAGCGGAAATTCTACGCCACGCCCGGCGGGTATAAGCGAACAGTTGGCATATTTGTCAGCATTCTCTTTGCGATCAGCGAGCGATTAACGTTGTTTGTACTTAGTGCAATCTGTAAATTTTTTTTCCTTTTATTTACCTCCCTATCATGGGGAGCATCGCGTATGGTCTTAGGCAATAAAGACCCAGTTACCCCCAATTGAGTTGGTGTGTATTTAGTTAAAAGTAGAAGATTAGACTTTTGGCGGTTTTAATTAAATATTATGTAACTACTGTCGGTTTTTTTAAGGTTTTGAGGAAAGCTAGATTTAAATTGTCGAAAAAAAGAAATAAGTTTGAGAAAGAAGTAATAAAGGTTCTGACCTGGTTTATTCATAAAGCTTTAAGTCAAATATCAATTAATATAATGATGCTATTTGTACACGGAAGCATGTAAAACGAAATAATATCACTCGTAGATTTTCCAATTTAACCACGTAGATTACAAGAAACTGACAAAATTAAAATTTTGGACGACATCGATAGCCAAGAATCCGGTGCGCAGTGTTGCTTTATTCTTTCAGATTTTCCTAAATTTCTGGTCAGATAATTAAGATAGTTTCACCGGCCTTGTTTGGTTTTGTCTTTCTGAAACCATAACAAGAAAATCTGCTAAATTGTGGCGGCGAAGACTCATAAACATGTCTATTTACCAGGACCATTAATAAAAGTCATTTCGCCGACCTCAAAATTTCTTAGGTGGAGATTGAAAGTGTTCGTCATAAAGGAAGTGTCTAAAAGTTTGACTGCAGTCAAGTAAATCAAGAGGAGCATAAATTCCTACTTGAATTATAATCATAATATCATAGGTGACAAATTATCCCTTAATTTTGGCGCGAAATTTCAGCGTTAATTTTTAATTTCACTTGTGAAATTACAAAATTGCCATTGTAACATCTCTTGTATCTCGATCAGAGCCAAGATGGCGTCGATATTTAAGACGGCGACCCTTGAAGAAGTTACGAAATTAAAAGAATCTGCCGAAAATTATTAACAAGCACGAAGAATTCGTAAGGTATTTTTTGTGAAGAAACTAAAAAAATTACGAATTTTAACAATAATGTATGCTTTAAACGAAAACTATCTTCTTCTTCATGCTCTCGGTTTTCGATAGAATAAACCAGTAAAAACAATTATTAGGGTTGTGAACGTAATTTGTCACCCACGATATTAAAAGGTAATCAAATGGTTTTCTCGTGAAATTAGGTAATAATTTCACTTGCGTTTTGTCAAAATTGTGATTCACTCGTCTCCATTTGATTACACATACGAATGTTGCGTGAAAAGGCAGTGACCAGCGCGGTGACTGGTTAATTTTGTTCTCACGATAACATTGCTGACATGACAAGCCAATGAAGAATAAGAACTTCATTATCGCGGTAAAAAGTTGGTTTCGCTGCTGGAATAACTGTTTCGCTAAGTTATGTTCTTGAAATGAGCGTCACGCAAAAATATATTTAATTACTAGGGGATGGACGTAAAAAATAAGCTGATTGGTAAGATCTGTAACTCAGTATTGCTCCACGATTATCTAAATTCTACTAGACATAAGTTTGTATTCTACTTTAACTTCATTGATGATGGGGAAAAAACTGTTGCGAATCTTGTCTAACGAGATCATTTATTATCTTCAAGAGAGATTCAAAGGAAATATAGTCGAATGCAAACAGATCGAGAGTTATTAACCATAAGTCGTTTTTAAAACAGACAGAGTTTATGTTCGCGGGCATAAATATGTTCTGGGCCCAATTCTGAGTTAAAAGGATTCCGAGAAAGGCCAAAAACATATCTAAGGCCAAGAGCATAAACTGTGTGGTTACTATTACATCACTTTAGAGGGCATGGCGAAAATAAAAACTGAAAAAGATGGCCAAAAAAGTGTAAACAATTACGCGGGGACTCGCCCAAATCTTCATTTTAGCCAGCACAACGGGGCCATAATGCCAAAAAATCTAATAATAATTACAGTTTTACTCGAAAACATGAACTTTATGAGTTAAAAACTTCAGGCTCTGAATATGTTTTGTCTACTAGGTGCTATGTCTGAAATAGGATACCGTATGGAACAACGCTGTTCATTTGCATAAATTGTAGGTGACTTGCTTCAAACCTGTTGAAAGAAACTGTCCAATCGATTCAGTAACAGGTTTAAGTATTGTTTCAACGAAGTCTTTTTTCTTGAGCAAGACGCAATTCCGTTTCACAGACGGCACAATTAAGTTTGACAGTTTGATACTACATGCTCCCATTGGAGCTCAAGATGCACCTAATTTTGAAAGAGGCGATAGTTGTGCTATGTACAAGTTGCACTTTTTTGGGTGTTTTGTCTGTAAAAGGGAGCTATCCGCCAAAAGTCGGAACAGAGGAGAAATGTTACCTCGCGAATGTATCAAGTCAGGAAAGTACTTGCAGCATCAGAAGACAGCCGTTTTTCAAACGAAAACTCGTCCGCATAAATGGAAAAGAGGTATTTTTTCCTTTAAAACTATGTAGACTTCCTTCATAAACTAAAAAAATCATTTCACCCCGCAATACACGTGAAAAGGACGTCAACATATCAAAAGTGAATTCTTATTTGAAATAAAAGTGTTTATCTGACTTTATTCTTCTTTTTCAGTCCCTAACAATAATATTTACTCTTACTACTTTACTCTCCAAGCTAAAATAAATAAAATTATTACAGTATAGACAAAACGATGTTTTCTTGTGTAGGTAGAAATCAGCTACCTGCTTAATTTTTATGTAAACCTGCATGAGTATTCATAGCAGAGCTGGTAGCGCACTGTCTCTTGCACCTTACAAAGCTTTTCCATTATCTCGAAGACGAAGTCTAATTGATATGATAAACGATATGATAAAGATTCATTTCCCCTTAGTTAAAGATGATATATATTATATTAGCTGTGAAGAACAAGTTAAAACAATGTTAAGGCAACATTGAAAAATCATTTTCATTATTAGCTCAGGCTTCTAACTGCACTAATCCCATCCTGGCGATGGCTGCTTTCATTATCAGTTTGTAATTTTAAATTGTAGTTTTAAAATAGTCTTAGTTCCGCAGCGAATAAGATTTTGCGCTGCTGGTTAATACTCTAACAACGATTTTTTTTTTTGCAGGTCGGCCATGCGAGACAAGTACACTTAGTTGCGGGGGAAACGCATAAAATCATCACTCGAGCACTCAAACCTCCAGTTTTTGGTTCGTTAGTTCTCTCGTTGTTATCTCGAAGTTAGGAGACTTTGATGCACTCATTATTTTGGTTGTTGATACACATAAGGCTGCTCCAGACTTTTGAGTTCTTGCTCTTAGCTTGGAAAAAAGATACACGATATTACGGCTGAAGAGGGTACACGGCAATGAATTGAATAATTATAATGGAGACAACGTCTGTGACCTTGAAAACGCAGGTGGCAACCATAAAGTTCTTTTAGTGGAAGAATTGATGTAAACTGAATGTTTGATGACCATCGTGGGAGGAATATAATTTCGATGATTTTGAAAACAAAAGGGGAGGGAATGACGAGTGACTTTTCTGTATTTTTTATCTAGAGATACCAAATTTTTTGACCAAAGAGGAATGCCAGCATATTATACAAAAGGCAAAGGAAACAGGACTGGAGTTGAGCGAAGTTGAATCGCCTGAGGAACAAGATAAATTTGCGAGTGAGTACAAAAGAAAAAAAAAACTTACGAAGTGTGCTACCACAACTTTTTAAATGAAATACATCTTATTTGACCTGCGGATGAAACTCAAAGAAAGAAATGATCCTAGCAGGTGGACCGTAATTTTAAAGAAATTGCAGATTCAGGCATCGACGGAATTTGAAGTCCAGCCTCCCAAATACTAGCTTCAGTAGTTCCCAACCGAGGATATCTGAGAGGTACGTGTCCCAATTCCGCCGAACCCTGAGATTTTCTGGCTTCTATTCTTCAAATGCTTAAAATTCAGGTTCACCTACGAGGATCATTTCTTTGCTTGAAGTATGCTTTGTTTAGTTGACTTGTCAGTGGGTGTTTGAAGATCGGCTTTAGGGTCGATGTTAATGGGTAAGAACAGTTTTTCTTGTACTCATTCTCTAAAACATCTAGGTAGTTGTTATGACGATGACTACAGATGTGTGAGATGGGCCAAATATGGAGAATGTGAGAAGAATCCTGGCTATATGTTAAAAAACTGCCAGCAGAGCTGTGAGGTATGTGAAGGTAAGTGGAATGGATCTTTATTCATTACTCTATTGCTGAGTTTGAGAACTTAAAAGCTTTGTAATACCATGGATCCTTCGGCTGGATCAGATTAACATGTCTAACATTGGTTTTGCTGAATGAAGTATTGCATTTAAAACTCAATATGAAATAGTTCATGAACAGTTGCATGCTTTTCCCGTCAGTTTTAGTTTGCATTTATGATTGGCTTTTCAGATGGAAGGGTTCTTGACTTTGATGATCTGGACCACGATGAGGATGGTATCCTCACGGGATATGAGGTACGATCATTGTAAATTAAAGTAACATAATATAAAACATGAAACAATTTTTAGTGTAATATAAAACAGCTCAAAAATGATACAAGGGATGGCTAAAAAATTCATTGTGCCGTAAGAATATACAAGCGGCTTAAAATTGCGGTTTATGACCAATTCAATTCTAGAGAACGTAGACGCAATAAATTTAAAATTCCTCTCTGGTCAGCAACGAAGGTTACATTTGTAATTTGTGATTTCCTCCACTAGTTTTTCTAAAACTTGGATTTTTTCCTAGGTTGCGAAAGCATTCGTGGTGTAATTTATTTTTGTACTCTTTTCAATTTCTGCGATTTTCTTTGTTTTAGTTCAGTAAGGCAACCGAAAAATTATTTTTCATGTACTTGGATGAACAAGACATACAAGAAATGCAAGTATTTGACAATAATAGTAGATACATGCAATATTTGAAGTCAGATAGAATAAATGGAGCATGAGCAGCACGCCATCTCTGGTTCAGCGCCGGGCCTCTTAGGTATAATCTGGAACAGTTCATTATATGATTACCTTATTGTCTATCCTTCTTAATGCCCATGAATTTTTTCCAAGACTAATGGTCTCCAATCAAGTCGGATGGTCCTTGGGCTGTTCTATCCCTCTCTCTCTCGGCTTCTGTTGTTTTTTTCTTCTATTATTGTGGCATAATAACAACACTATTGATTTCTTATGTACGAGTTTGTATACCGTGAATCTACATACATTTATACATTTATAATATCGCTTGCTGTAATCAAAACCTTTTTTTCGTTTTTTTGTGGGACAACCACAGGTTTTTAGATTTGAATGTCACACAGTTTGGTTCAGGTAAGTAATTTTGCTTAAAATGACGATTTTGAAAAGCACGCGGCTCTAGTTATGTAAACTTAAAAATTGGACCCGACTAGTGAAAAACTAAGCTGAGTTGATTAAAGAAGTTATTCGGATTAAAAATATCCCCCCCCCCAGCATCCAAAATATTTTGTTCACGCTGTGCCCATCTTTTTGGGGGGTATAAACACGTGATACAGTAGTATATGAAGATCATCTCCATTTTAACTGTGACGAAAGACCGATAAAGAGAACTATAAAAATTTATAAAATACGCATTTGTTAACAACTTCACGAGCTTTTTTTTGTTTTATGTCGTCTTTACTGTTTGTTTGTCTCTTCACATTTTCCACTGGCTATCCAGCCTTTCTTACCAGAAGAAAAAAAACTTTATTTTTAGGCCTCCTCTGCGAAGATAATGAAGCTGACTGCTCCAAATACGCAGAGGAGGGAGAATGTGAGAGGTTTCCAGTCTGGATGCTATTCACCTGTAGGAAATCGTGTAGAAACTGTGGATGTGAAGACCTGGCAGCCAACTGCTCTTCTCTAGAAAAAGAAGGAAAATGCCTCCACCCTAATCATGCCAAATGGATGTTGCGAAACTGTCGTCGAACATGTAAAGTTTGCCTAGGTTAGAAAACGATAGCTTATCGAAACCATTTTTCTGTGATGAAAGACGATGTTATTCAGTGAATTACACATGTAAATCAACTCCTTGAATTCGAAAACGTTTCGTTTGGTGGATCATGTCCCCATAGGGGCCGTGAGCTATGACATGTACAGGAGAATGGACGCGAATGATATCTTCAAATTCATGAAGACAATGGCAAGGAAACATCCGAGACATAGATCGCGGTACAGTCACACGGCCTGGTTACACAGCACCATCCCAGATCCAATACAAAACAATATAATTGACAGGTGAGTGATTTGACAAAATTGCTTGCACTTGTCGTCACTATATTGTCACAAGCGAACATAAGATCTCTCTCTTTCTCCATGTCCACTTTAGCTATCGTTACTAGATGCTTGAAATCTGCATTCGAGAATGATGAGTATTCTAGTAGCGCCAAACGACTTCTCTTCCTTAACCATGTAGAGTGACCAGCATCTAATTTCTCCTTACAGCAATACAGCTGAATCAATTATTGCGATCATGAGAACAAATTCAGGAAATGGTCGCCAACGTAAGAAGCTTTGAATTTAAAACAAATTCTTCTTGTCATCACCAAAGGAATGTATTGAGAAAAGTGAATAAAGGCTGATAGTTTCTAAAGAAACTGTTTGGGGCTGCGTCGGTGGGAGTAACGAAATAATTTTAGTATATCAACAAAGTTGAAATGGTAAATTGGCCACCGTTACGATTATAAAATCTGACGTTTCAGCGTTAGCCCTTCGTCGGAGCGAATTGGGAAATTGTGGGTTGTGTGTGCTTTTAAAGGCAGAAAATGGAGCTACGTCATTGGTGGGAACATGGCAACGAGAAAAACACGAATAAATAAGTGGAATGAATTGAGAAAAGTGTCGAGAATAAGGATCCTAACGTTGAGGTGTAAAAGGTTGTGAATGCTCCTCTATGGAAGCTTGTCCTGATATTGGGATGTTAGAAGCTTTTCTAAAGAGACAGAAGAAAAAGGAGTCTTCTTTTCTCACTCCCTTTCTTGACTTGACAAGGACCGTGTTTGAGCTATTTTTATGAAAACTGATTTTTGTTTCACAAATTAGAGTTGTAAAGTTAACCCAGCTTCCTCGTGAGATCGTGGAAGGTGCTGAGTCACTCCAGGTGAGTTGGACAAAAGAAGTGTTTTCATTAGCATTTCGTGTCATTCTTTCCCACCCTCATTCCATGGTTTTGAAGGTTTTGCTCTGTTGTATTAATTGCAGGGTGTTTTCTTGTCTTAGGTGGTTAAATACGACAAGTACGGTCATTACCACGCCCACTACGACTCCTCGGGCACTGGTGATGACAGTATGATTTGCTGTCACCAGACGAGAAACAAAACTCTGCCATGTCGCATCTGCAGGTAAATAGGAAACAGAGCTATATATAGAGAGGGTGACCTGATAGCTCGATGGTTTCTCGTTGCAATCCCTCCTGGTCTAGTAGTTAGGATTCGGCGCTCTCACTGCCTCGGTCCGGGTCCGTTTCCAGGCGTGGGAACTTTTTAGTTTGATTCTCTTTCTTTGTGCGACAATCTCGGTCGATCTTTAATACCTGCTCAAAAGTATGACAAACACCACAGGTTAGAAATACGTATGGGTTGGTCAGTCCGGCCTTAAAATCCCTTACATGACTACATTCAACGGATAGAGACTGAGACTGCTTGGGCCCCTACGCTTTGTACCAATTGCGTCAGTAATCTTACACTTAAAAGGATGATATGATTCAAAGACAAAAACTTGAGAAACTGAAACGCTTAATTACAAAAAAACTTTCTCCCAAGTCGGCCATGGTGGTGAGAATCAAAATAAAAGTTTCCCACACCGGGAATTGAACCCGGGCCGCGGTGGTGAGAGCGCCGAATCCTAACCACTAGACCACGTGGGATTGCGTCTACTTTCGGATTTGCTCGTTGACGAGGAGTATTGAACTAGTCTAAACAACATTAAATTTCCTTTCGATTACTAATTGGATTACTAATTTTCCTTTACTAATTGGGGAATACAGGAACTTATCCTTCGATAACTTTCAAAAGTATGCTAAGAAATTTTCTCTCTAAATTCCAGGTTGGTAACGATTCTTTACTATCTGAACGACGTTGAAGAAGGAGGTGAAACAGCTTTCATAATGGCTGATAATTCAACCCTAAACCAATCGGTGAGATCTCAAATTTACCGGACCTCTACTGAGGTTTTTCTTTTTTACGTTTTTCAAGCTTTTACTGAATTCCCCATCCTTTTAATGTTCTTGTTTCTACTAAACAAATGACATGCACTCTAGAAGTTTAAATATTTCGGGAAGATCAGTTTATATGGCGTTAAAGGAAATTGTGGAAAAGTCAGCCTATCATGATAATAATCTTTATTGAGGATATCAATTTCACTGATAACTGATTTACAAAAGATCTAGAGTCTGTCTCCCACGAGTTTGAGATAAGCGGAATTTTAAATCAACAGATGCTTCTAGCAAAACGTGGCCAGGAGGGAGATCCCTTTAATCTCAGTAACTACTGTCAAGACGCCAGTTTGGTAGTAGCACCAAAGCAAGGCACAGCCATCATGTGGTACAATCACTTTTTGGACTCCAACAGCGAGTGGCTTGGGGAGAGAGACCCGTACTCCCTGCACGGAGGTTGTAACGTCAGACGAGGCCATAAGTGGATAGCCAATCACTGGATACCAGCACCATATGAAAATTATCAGCACTTTCCAAGCATATATCGAAGAAGCATTAAAAAGGATCATGGATAATTAGATAGATATTTTAAATCTTAATCAATAGAGATCAGCAGAGGCCCGTTTCTCGAAAGTCCGAAAGTCTTAGCGGGCCCGTAAAGCTGTTATGTTTTCATTCAAGATAAGAATTTCAAAAGTTTTGAAAATGATACAATAAAACTATCAGCTAAAGAAACAAAAAGGACTGGTTTGGGTACCAGAGCCTGCTCTCCTATCCTTTAAATTTTGATTTGAAAACATGGCTTCGGGCCCGTTAAGTTACCGGGACTTTCGATGTTCGCGCCAAAACTCGTGCACGTGACATTGCTGTGTGGCATGCGGTTTCGTTTTTGTTTTGTTTGTTTTACTCTCGCCATTCTGTCTAGAGTTTGTCGTGTAGTTCGTTGCGTAAATAAATCATGCTAAAATTGAACGTACTCGTCGTCCTGAATCCTCGTTAAATTGCCGGAACATTCGAGAAGCGGGCCCCTGGGCGCAATTGTTGGAAGGTCGATTAACGCGAGACCAGGGTGAATTAATAATAATAATAGTAATAATAATAATAAACAATATTTGCAGAGGATATCACCAGTAACACTAAAGTTAATTAGGGTGGTCCTCTATCTGCACCCACCCATCTCACCCAGGGGAGGACATCCATCACACGGTAATCTCGTGTGTGGGAAATTAACGTCTCCTACCTCAACCTTGCAGGAGACGGGACCTCCATTTATTCGTCCCTGTCCAAGAGGACTAGAAAGTCTAACCATTTCTTGATGTTATAGAAAGGTAGCAAATTCTTCTCAATTATTTTAAGACCCGGAGTGTTGGTCCGGCCGGGGCTCGAACCCTCGACCTCCCGCACAACAGTCCAGCGCTCTATTTTAATCCAGGTTTCTTTATTCCTTTGTTCACAAGCTTTTTTGGTGTAGTTTTTCAATTTTTTTTTTGGCCCCGTTTCCGTGGCCAAATCGCTAAAATGACGTGTCTGCAATTTGCCATATTCAGTTTCAGTGAAAAGTTACAGAACATTTTTGAAATAGGATTAAAAAAATTAGGATCGTACAAAAATTGCTCTTGAAAAAAAAGTATTTAGAAATAAAAAATTCGGAGACATGCTTTTGTTGTTTATATGTAAAAATAGCCACTGTCAAAATTTGAGAGCAATCGAACAAATTCCCTTTGACTTGTAGCTCTTAAAAGGTGATTCTGGCGCTCGCATTTAGAAGTAGTGAAAAATTCGACAATTAATTATTTTCAAAATTTTTGGTATGGTCTGATAGCCAGTCCTATAAGCTTTAATTTGATATAGGGGTTTAGATATCTACAGTTTGAACCGGACGCGCTACATCGCTTGCACGTGAGACACCCCTGAGGGTGCACGGTAACCTAAAGGCGTTTGGATCTGCAATCAGATTTCACACCAACTCTGGGTTATCTTAACCCAGCTTCAAACAACGCAGCCCTGTAGTCTTCATTATAGTGCAGTTTTAAACTGAGTGCCCAAAGCACTTCGACTTTGCTTTGGTTTTACTTCACTTCGCTTTATGATTAATCCAGAAAACTCGCTCTGATCTCTCAACCAATCAGATTCTAAACTACAGCTATTTTTGCTTTATGTTTTTATAGGCTCCTTGCGATACGTTCCTTTATTCTAATTGGCTGATGTGATTCCAATGAGTTTGGTTCTACGACACTCCATCGAGCTGATGTGTTCTGTTTAATTAAATACAAAGAACTTCTTTACCAGTTCTTCGGCTGTGTTGTAGTGTTGTAGTCTTTGCAGATTATAGTGATGATCCCCCAATTTCTCTAAATTTATTTAGGAAAAGTCAGTATGCTGATCTGTGAGTTATGCTACATTTATCGTTCGATTTGAAAGAATATAAAGGACCGTGTTTTAAAATTCTTAGAACGTGTACACTGGAAGTTGACAATTTTTTTTTTGATGAAGTCGTAGACAAATTTACTGCTGGAAAATAAAAATTACTTGATAAAAATGCTCATCTCGTTTAGCTAAATGTTTTGAACTTGAAGGCGTTGTTTCGCTCTGGCAAAGGTTGAAATCATCGAGATGTCAACCCCGATATGATCGGGGATGAAGAAGGACCAATTTTGTAATTTATTTAATTACTTTCCTAATTTTACCACCGTGACGATAGTTTCAAAGGAAACTTACTGTAACTCTTCGAGTCAACGATAATAATTTTTTTCTTATAAATTGCCGTTGGGATTACGTAAATAGTGTAAGTAAAACCACGGTATTAAGTTTTCCTTGCATCGCAATGCAAGTTTACCAGACCCCTCCACTTAAATGAGATTTAGGATGCACCAAATATTCCCTACCACAAAAATTACGTTGTAGCTCATCAAGGCGGGAGGGAAAAAATCATTGAAAATATATTTGCAATTTCTTTCGAAACCAATACGAGACAGAAAGAACACTCAGTTCTTAAATTCATTCCTTCGATGAGAAATCCACGATTTCGAGCCCAATACTTTGATCTCGCTAGTACATCTATATGATAACACTCAGGTCAAACTGTCTCTCGTTTTGGTAAGCGGAGCCACTAAACCCTAGGCACGCGCAGAAATTTGGACCACAATTCGAACGCTCCATGGCCTTAGACCTCCCACTTGCCCTTTGTTTTATGCCTTTTTTTGTTGGAATGTTTCGTTTTCACGTCATCAATTGTCCCAGAAAATAAAGAGAATAAAGGAAGGACGACCCTAGATGCTCTATACTCTGGACATACAACTTCATTTGAGAGAAGGTCGTCGGCAAATTAAACTTTCGTTGACCCAGCAAATTTAGGTACTAGACATGTTTCCCATTAGTGTTGAGCGACTTAAGGGAAAGGTATCTTTGTAACTGTTACAGTTTACTATTCCGCTGTTGTGTTTGGGCGATACTTACGAAATTAGTGTTAGGAGAACTATTCACTGCCATCCAAGGGAAAAATCAGCCTAATGCACATGAAAAAAGCTACCCTGTCGAAGACAGAATAACCACATGTAATTTACTTCAAAACAGCCACCGCGAACAAATTTCGTACCTGCAGTATGAAACCAGAGGGATTAACCGTTGACACACAATTTTCGTCGATCGCTAAACTTAGTCACAAATTTAGTTATGAATCTCCTCAGAACGTCATATTTTACAATTTTACTTAATTTTGCCGTTCAGTTTCCCAATTTAGAGAGCACTATCGTCAAGAACAAGAAGTTTAACAGACCTTGTTTTGATGAGGATCAAGACCTTACCCAATGTTCTGCTTTCAACGAATTGTGTGAGAAAGATGGGATAAATGGTTTCAAACTTGTTCGTCTACAGGGTAAACGGGTGAGTGGATAACTATTTTTTTTCCATTATAAAGCGTCAAGGGGGTAATAAAAAAATACATTCTTACCTAGTTTCTGATTTATTTTATTTCAAATAATAAAAAAATTTATTCAAGGATTGAGATTGGCAATTGCTGGGGGAATTTCATGTCCAAAATGAAATATCCAAGAGTTAAGAGAATAACGTTCTTATTTTTTCGATTCAGAGAAAAAATATGGCTAAGTTCATATAGTAGAACTATGGTCTTTATAACATAATTGATATAACACAATCTACACGAATAGAACTTTTATTTTTATAATACCCTAGTGTGTAATTATACAAGACAAAGTGTACCATTTTGAAGTAGAAAACATAAACTATGAATAATAACATCTTGGACACCATTAAGAAAGCAAAGACGTCCAGTACCTGCTCAGCTTTAACTGGCACCTGCTTTACACTAACAATGATGCCAAAACATATCTTTTGTGTGGAGAGCACAAAGTATTTCCAATACCTGGAGAGGGGAGGGATTATTTTGTAGGATCACATGGTTTTGAGGGGAAACGGAGGGGAGGTTAATTGTCACTTACAGAGTATAAAAGGAGGATTATAGAAAATTGACTGTCAATAAGGGATGATCATAACAATACGATAAAATTGTAACACAACCAAAACCCTTCGATCTTCGAGGCGATAAATAGTGAGTGTCCCTAACACTAATCAATGCTTGCATTGAACCAGACAGGTCACGTAAGATGGTTAGAGTTAGAAGAAGCGAGAAGTTACAAGTTAATCACCAGAGCCATGAAGCCATTATTATTTGGTGAGGTTTCATTTGAGGAATTTTAAATGATGTGACTATATCATGAACGAGTAAAACTAACTGGAAAGAATTGAACTGCGGTGTAATAGATAATGATAAAAAGTCATAAAAAAATATTGCAGGACACGGGCGGTCTCTACTCAATCGTAAACTGAGGAAAACATGATTTTAATTGAATTAAATATGAAATTAAACAATTTGTAATAGAGATGAATTCTAAAAGTGTTCCTTATCCTCAGAGATTCCTCATTTTCTAACCGATGATGAGTGCGATCACGTGATCTCGCTCGCACAGGAGGCAGGACTCAGCACCAGTCAGGTTGCTCTTAAATTTGACGAGAAAGACTTAAACGAGGTCTTGAAACAAGTTGGTGAGTATGCTCAATTGCAATAATCCAATAAAATATTTTCCTTGACTAGTGGTGGAACTTGCTTAGTCACATAATTTGATCTCCAGATCAGAATGCAAGTTTTGTATAAAATTTTAATTTGAAACAATAGAAGGTTGAATTATTTCTCCCACTCCCATCCTATTATTCAGAGCTCAGAATTAGAGAACTTTAGCTGGATCATTGCAATATGTACGTATATAGCCTTTAGGAATGTATGGGCGTTCATATCGTTTCTGATACTAACTTTTGCTAGTTGTTTTCAAGACAGAAATGCAACCCTTGATAGAGAGAATTATTTTGCACGAGACGTGAACGTCTGGGATACAAACAACGATAACGTTGTTGATACAGAGGAGGTATAGACACTTTTTAAATGATTATCAAATACTTATAAGATTAGTTCTAAATAAACTTGTCAACAAAAATAAGTTTAGAAGCATCATCACAGAATTATTTTTGATATTGCGCCAAGTCAAGTGAATACAGAGTTTATAATCTTGGTCGAGTATCAGATAAAATGAATTATCGCGTGTCACACCAATTTTCAGTCCATTTTAATAATCACCCCTGCTGGAAAATAAAACGTGTTTAGAATGAGTGTCGTTGAGCCAAAACCAAAGGGACAGGATGAGTTTCATAGACCAATCGCAGAGCGTTGTAAAGCAAAAAAAAAAAATGCAATTCCGGTTAATTACTCCCGTGCCCACCCGAAAATTCTTCTGAAGCGTAAGAGGAAGATGAGAACGGTATAAGCACAAAACTGAAGACACGAGCATTTTAATTTTTTTTCAACACAGTAGCTTACTTGGCCCCCAAAACGTTTTATTTTATCTTCACAGTTCAGGACTTTTGCAAAGGTGTATAAATCACTTCACTTTAAACACGAAGAAATAGTTCAAATGTAAGTATTAACATGTGACGAATTGAAATTTTCTCTGTGGTCTGACGCAAGGCAAATGTTAGGATATCAATCAGTCATATTGTGTGCAACATTCTTTTGCTCAAGGTTAAGAAGTTGCGGGCTGGCACTCGATAATAATACCGAAGGTAAGGTATCAGAAATTGAGTTGTGACTTTCATTTATGCGTCGATCAATTCGAAGCTATAACATCGGACCTCATGATAGACCTTAGTTTTCTTCTGAACCATTTGCTCGCGAAAGTAAACTATTTATACTTTAAATACCTCCATATTTAGAGATATAAAACTTTTATTCCGTTGAAAAGACTTGACACTTCTGGTTCAAATTCCCCACCTCAGCTGGGCAAGGTTCAAATTATCTACCTCCCGGCACGCATGACGGTCAAATCACCGTGGAGGGAAAAAGTATTTTGAAGTTTCGAATTGGTCAGCTCATTAGTTGTGAAAACGTAATGTCGTGAGAAGCGAGAAGTTAAATAAAGATTAGTTGGATTGGGTGGGACCTGAACATGAATTGTGCAACATAAGTTCAAATATAAAATTTACCGTATCAATAATAAAGTTTGAAGTAAATAACATCTCTTCCCTCTAGTAAAGAATGCATGGTATATCCCAAATGCTCGATATACGGGTCATGGACCAGAAAGAAATAAAGAAATAGTTATCAAACGCCTTTCTTGACTATACCGAGTGAAACATCACAATGCACGTGTATCTTTTTTACTCATAGGCAAAATAACCACCAATTACTTAAGTGAGGGAAACATAAAGAAAGTTATTTCCTATATGAGTTTTCTGAGGTCCACAAGTCCCCGACATAAATTCCGGTACAGCGAACAGGCTTGGCTACGTCAAGACAAAACTGCTGACCATATTTTACGACGGCTTCATGAAAGGTTGGTATACGATTTGAAGATAGCCTTTTTCGAAGCAAATTCGAAAAGCACATTCATGTTGTTTTGACGGCCGATTACGAGAAAATAGATGGCACTCGAAAGGAAAATTATAAATCAGACTCAAAAGCCAATTAAAAGGTTCGTTGCATCCATTTTCAAACCACTGGTGATCCTTGTAATATGATTGCCAGTCGGGAATGCGATTTATCCACTAATCGTACCATTTTTTGCTCTAAATCGCATCTTATCCCCAGCCAACGAGAAAGCGTCGACAACAACCAATCGCTTGTTGAAAGAACCGATAAACTTGCAAGAAAAGGATAAACAACTTTAGCAACTTTCTACAAACCAGCTCACCACTCAGGATCAACAAAACATTTCTGCATCTTAGCGATTTCAAGATCGATGCCAATAAAGTGATAACTGAACTTAACTTGGTGTCGTGCAATTTTGGTCTGACTGGGAAATTATACTTGTGACTTCAAATCAAACTCGTGTTGTGCATTCATTTGAATTTGAAATCCTGCATATGATTTCAGACCAAATTGCACTCCACTCAGTTCAGTTACCGTTACAACGAAAAGTGAAACGTTCTAACGGTTCACTTTTGAAAATGTATGTTGACTAAAATACGAAACATCAAGTTCTATATAAATTGCATTGGAATACAATGTTTATCACCGCTGTTTTGTCTTATTTGTCTTATAAGAACGTTAACTTTATGCTATATTCATTACAGAATTTCTAGGTTAACGAAGCTCCCAAGAAAACTGCTTCAAGGTAGTGAATCAATGCAGGTACTAAAAACTATTCAGATCCTTCGAATTTTATTTCGTGCGAAGTTGCAGTTTATTTTAAACCTGCCACTGTCTATATGATTGTAGCCCCTCGTATCTCTAACGGAACCACTTTATCCACAAAGTATGAAAAAAATTATTTAAAATAAGATTCCCTGTCATTTAAATGGTTGCGTTTTCAAGATTTCTCTTCAAACATCTGATCTGCTACATTCCCAAGGTCGTTCGCTACCAAGCATCAGGTCACTATCATGCGCACTTTGACTCTGGCATGGATCCCAGCGTCCCTTGCTGCCATCAAAATGTGGATCTAAAACCGCCCCAGTGCAGACTTTGCAGGTAAACTGAGCTCCATTCTCATGAATTAATCATACCTCATTTGCAAATATTCTCTTTATGTGTTTGGGTAATTTTTGTAACATTTGAATAGACATGCTCTTTTCCAATTGTTTCTCAGATTCGCTACTATTTTGTATTACCTCAACGACGTAGAGCAAGGAGGAGAAACAGCATTTCCACTGGCAGATAATTCCACTATAACTTTTAAGGTGAGAGTTAGTGCTACCCTTAGAATTAAATTTCCAGTTGTTATTTATTGTGGAATTAACCTTCTTTTTTTCTTTTAAATCGTTGTCATCTTTTTGTTTTTGTGTTTTTCACCGTTTGCAAGTTGACAATATAAGTTATCCTTTCGTGATTTGAATAATAATTTCTTTCTTGAATAATTTATTTCCTGCGTCAGAGCGAATGGGGCTAACGCTCGAAACGTCAGGTTTGAAACTCTTTACGGTGGTCAATTTACACTATCAACTTAGTTGATAAAACCAAAATTACCTTCAGTTTTTATACTAAACACCACCTCAGCTTCTTTAGAAACTTACCTGCCTTTTTCAGTTTACTTTTACTCCAGTCTTTTTATGATGGGTAATACTTTATTTTTGATTTTGACTCAGGAACTCCCGAATCCCGAATCAGACGAATTTAACCTAAGCATCAGCTGTCACACGGCCAATTTTGTTATCCCTCCCAGGAAAGGTACTGCTTTAATGTGGTACAACAATTTTATTGACCCGGACAGTGGACTTCTTGGAGACTTGGACGTAAATTCGATTCACGGTGGTTGTGACGTCATTGAAGGAGAAAAGTGGATTGCTAATAACTGGCTGACAGCACCCACAAAAGACTCGAGACATTCTAAGAGTGCTTATGACGTTGGGTTTGACTGATAAAGCAAAACCTTTCCTAATGAGATTGAATCAAAGGTAGTTGGAAAAGAATTGACATATGTCTGTGGGAGATCCCTCCATTAACTCCAGAGGTTGAGTGTGATCCAGCAGTCGGCAGAAGAAATGATTAGTCACATATACGCTTTCCTGGTTTCCAGAAAAGAATCGTGTCGTATTAGGTGCTGTTGCCACCTAACCAAAAATAAGAGAGTGTTTTTTTTACTTTTACGAAACTCTTCGCATGATGAGACACAGGTACGCTCTGACAGCTGTTTGATGACGCAAAAAGTGACTCGCGCCACGTTCGAAAGTAAAATTTATGAAGGTTTGAACGGTGAAACGACGGAACAAAAGTAATAAATATCTTGCTGACAAAATTAACCTACCTCTATAACTCATTGTCTCGTTTATGGATATCTATCATCTAACACAGATCCAAACTTGTTATGCCAAGCTATGATTTTGGTATGGCGAAGGCTCTTATCATTGGGGGGTGGGGGGCATTTCATTTAGGACTGTATGACAAAAGTATTCTAGAAAAACATCTTTCAGGAATGAGCTGAGGATCAGGTTTTAATCTAGAAAACTGGCAAATATATAAGCTGTCCTATGTGGTCTAGTGGTTAGGATTCGGCCCGGGTTCGATTCCCGGCGTGGGAATAAACGATCGATTTAGGTTGTTATCATCACTGTTCACAAGAGGCTTCGTACAAATTTTTGCCCAAAGCAAAAATAGAACAATAACAAAATAAAATCAAACAAAACCAATCAGTTAAAAAATAAATAACGGAAAAAGGCAAAATAAAACAAAATTTTAGCCATGTTAGCCATGATCATTTTGTACTCTTTGACGGTTCAAAGTCTAACTAGTGTGTTTGAGATCACTCATCAGCTCAGAAGCATATTTATCAATTTATTGCTCGACTTTCAGTCTAAATTGTCATTGGCACCTGTAGCGTTCGGAGAGCTAAGAACAAGAAAACCTCTGGTTAATTTGGCTCCTTGGTTCCCAATGTAACATTACCATCTAAATACATATATCTTATTAGACGTTTATTATTAGACTTATTGGACGAGCCCGTAGGGCGAGTCAAAAGACAAATAACGAGTAAAAATACATATATCTTATTAGACGTTTTGTTGTGTAGTATCGCTGAGTATTTTTACGCGTTGTGTCGTATTTCGACGAGCCCGTAGGGCGAGTCAAAATACAAATAACGAGTAAAAATACATATATCTTATTAGACGTTTTGTTGTGTAGTATCGCTGAGTATTTTTACGAGTTGTGTCGTATTTCGACGAGCCCGTAGGGCGAGTCAAAATACAAATAACGAGTAAAAATAC